ATTAAAAATGTTCTACAAAAGGAAGATCAGAGACCAAATTAAGTTGCATATTAATTGTTGGGAATTGCTCTATTTACAAGGGTTTATTGCTTATAATATTTACAAGGGTTTAATGCTTATAATTATTATTAATATCTGTGAATCATAAATCTAACTTAACAAATAATAAAAATAAGAAAAAAAGTTGAGTTGGATCAAGAAAGTTGAAAGACTAAAAAAAATGTTTAATGTTTCGGTAGGTCCCTATTTTCGTTCAGAATCGGTCTCATTCTTTTTCGGCGTCTCAATTGGGTCTTATTTTTATAAAATTGAATTAAATAGAGGTTTGCCGTCAAATTAAAAAGACGCAGTTAAGGAAAGTGTTATGTGGCATGCTGACAGTGTCTTTTTAAATTATGTGACATTAAAAACATGTGTGAAATGAATTTTTTTAATTTGTGAATTAAAAAAATGGAATGCAAAGAAGGGAAATAAAATTGAAATAAGGGCAAAGTGGGGAAAACCAATTAAATTAAGTGCAGCAACCCCTTTCTCTGCAATTGCAAAATCGAAATAAAAATTGGGGAAGGTGAGTTTTAGGGTTTGTGGGAGGTGGTGCTACCGGCGGATTTGAACCGGAACACAGAGTGGTTCACGTACCCTGGCGTCTAGACCACCTACATCCTCATCCTTTTCTTTTCTTGGATCCTCATTCTCTTCATCTTCGGTTGCTCCCCTGGCATCGCATGGACCATCGTTAATCTCGCACATTTTGTTGTATCTTTCTTTTTCTACTTCTTTTAATCAATTAATTTAATCACTGCCTTTTGTTCTGAGAAAATGAAATTGAGTTTTGGGTCTTTGATTTGTTACCTGATTTATCTCTGGTCTTGATGACCCTAGGGTTTAAGGCTTTTTAGGGTAAGCACAATATGTGAAGTTGAATGCCATCTTACATGGATTTTAGTTGTGATTGACCTGGATAGAATTGAGGTGTTAAATTGTTTCATTCGTCATTATTAAGTATGTGATTATAATCCAATTGGCACAATACATGGTTTTAATATTCCGAAACATTGACTGCGAGAGAGGTTGAGTGGGGAAGGGAATTACCTTTATCCTGCAATTGTGAAATCAAATTATGTTTGGAAGACCTAAAAGAAAAAGAAGACTGAAACCTAAAATTCACCTTCTACATTTCATTATCCTTCTCTTCCAATCAAACAAAAAACGATTTTTTTTCTCCCAGGAACCTTAATACGAAGCTCCAATCTTCTTTCCCCATTGTAGGACTGCACTTAATTTATTTTCTTTTACCCAGTTTGCCCTTAAGTAAATCTGATTTCACCTCTTTGCAATCTATTTTTTGATACAAAATACAATCCAAACTCATTTTTAGTGCCACGTTTGATTAAACAATACAATGACCATGTCACGTAACTCAATCTTAAATGATCGTTTGTCCAATTTGACGGCAAGTCTCTATTTGATTTAATCTTACAAAAATAAAAATCAATTGAGGTGCCGAAAAAGAAGGAAACCTATTTGAGATTCTAACGAAAATAGAAACACAAAAACAAAAAAAAAATTATATATGTAAACTTTTTTAAATATATATGCCAAAAAAGTTAAATTAGCATAGCATTATGCATATTTTTTATCACAACTCATATTAACAATATTTTATGATTGATTATGGATATCATATAATCAATTAAAGATATCACATAATCAATTAGAAACCTATTTTTTATTTCTTGTTTTATTTTTAATATATATATATATATATATATATATATATATATATATATATTACAATAATAATACATTAAAAATTAAAAATTTTATTTTACACTCATTTTTCTTTCACACTTTTTCATTTTCCACCTAAATATCTAAATATAATATAAAACAACAATTTAAACACGGTTTTCTTGATGTTTAATATCTTTAAATGGAAATCCAAACTCAAAAATTTACCGACTTAATTAAGATATGAAGGATGGTAGAGATAGATGACAGCCATTGCAGGTAAGACTTATCAATAATGTGTTTATCGGATAGGAAGTTTTATTTATATTTATTTTGTTATTCATGTGAAGTATATCTACAGAACAATTGTTTTAAATTACGAATATTTAAGAATTTTTTTTATAAAATAAATTATTTAAAACATTTTTTATGGCACTTTTTAATTATTACAAACAAACTTATTTAAATTATAAAAATTTATTATTTTTAAAATATAAATTCAAACAAAAGTTCTATCATAAGACATATTATCTGTAAACATGAATAATAAGAAAATACATTAATAAGTAATAAACTAAACAATGATAAAATAAAATTCATTCTCATTCTATTGTGTAATTAATATGCATAGTAATCTTCTAGTTAAGTATTTTTTTACTCAAATGTTTCTTCCCAAAGCTGGCCCGAATCGTTTTTCTTTTATCGGATATAAAATAACATAAAATTATATTTAAAAAATGGTCATTTTTAAAGGATTTTTCAAGAGATAAAGAAAATACAATACCCACAAGATATGATTTAATCTATATAAATTTACTTTTAACCCAAAAAAAATGTAAATGTTTATCTGTTTCGATTCTCAGTATTCAACTTTTCCATATTTATTAAATGTGAAACTTAAACTGGCAATTTTTAACCATCTTTTCATAAGTTTTTTTCTATGTTAGTACACTCTTGAATAAAATCATTTTTAACCATAAACAGTTCTATCACCATTCAATTTAACAATATACATTTACCTTCTCAAAAAGACTTTGATACACAAACTTAAAGTTATCAAAATTAGTCCATCTGACCAACACAAGTTGTATTAGCTCAATTCAACTCACTTTTTAATACATAAAAATTTTGTATATTTTATACAATGATGGAATCAAATTATTCAGATAATTATCCAGATATTATTATAAAAATAGTAATTAAAAATTAAAGTATAATTTATATAACTTGGCAAACAAAATTAAACATCCAAAGTATTTAAATATTATTGAACAATATTTCGATACTTAAAAAAATCAAATTGTGAACCTATATAATTAAAAAATAATAAATAATTTTAATAAAAAACTAATAAAAAAAAAGTCATATTATTGTTGATGAATAACGAGATTAACCTACCCTCAGTTCAGTTCAAATTCATGAGTTAAACAAGTCAGATTCAATTCAAATTAAATTCAATAAAATAAAAATATTTACAATCCAATTAAACTCGAACTATTTATGAAAACTCATTTTGACATATCTGCATATATGTATTATATTTATATGAGCCGTCTGAAAAAGTAACCTTCAACCCTAATATAACTATTTAAAATAATTTGAATATGATTCGTTGAATGGATAAAGAGATTTTTTATATGTTTGATGGTTGTAAACGGGAATAAAATGTCCCAATGAAGGAGGAAGGAGATAAGAAGACAGTTGTGTGGCTCTGGTTTTAGTAACACTTCCTTTCAATTTCACTATTTGTTCAAAGATGAATCAAATCATAAGTGGAGTGTAAGGTACCACCATTTCTGTTACTTCACTTTTTGTGGTCCACAATTTCTATAACGTGTAAGGAATTTCTCATGCCTTCTTGGAGTTTTCTCATATATTTTAAGATCACACGTTATTTTTATATTTCACTAACTATTTAAATCACTTTTAAAGATAATATACCATCACAAAATCAATTTTTATAAATTTCTGTACCCATGTATATATTGATTTACTTTTTAAATTACAAATATTGATTATTTTAATATTTATATTTAATGTAGGTTGTTAGTAATTCTACCTATGAGTTGTTAGTATTAATTATTTAGATTTTTTTTATATATAAATAACAAAGATCAATTGATAGATAATTAATGTTTTAAACTTTTTTATATATATTTTTAGTCTTAAGTTAGTATATTACTCACATTCTTAGTGTGTTATCTTATTAATAAAATGTTTTCTTCTATTTTGGATAATAAAGTTTTATATTTTATTGTGTTTTAAATGAAAGTTTCGTATTTCTTTTCAAGTTTTTGGTTGAATGTGTTTAGTATATGATATGTGTGTTGGGATTTGGATAAACTTTCAACTTGAATTATCAAATATATTTTTTTAAGACACTTTTGAGTTAAAAAATGGTGTTGATGTTATTTATCTAATACCAATAGACATTACATATATTCAAGTGTCACTTTTTTTTAATAAACTCTTTTCTTGTTTTTCTCCACAAACGATGCTAACTTGTCCTAGGAATTTTATCTTTGCTTTTAGTTGAATCTTTTGTGTATCTTACTCCTACCTAACATTGTTCTAACATCTCTGCATAATTCAAATTCTTCTCATTAATCAAATTTACTTGGACAATCTCTTCCTCCTCTTATCATCTCCCAACAACTAACTTCAATTACTGATATAGTGTAACACAGTGAGTCCTCTTCATCAAGTTTTTCACCATCATCATTTCATATTATATCTCCTAACAATGAGGATTCTAGTTAACTTATTGCTATTCACAAAAGTACTCGCTTTATACAAAACTCTTATTCTATATATAATTTTTTAACTTATCATTGTGTTTCAATTTTATTTTTCTTGTCTTTAATGTATCTTCTATTACCATTCATAAACTCATGGACTTCATTATAGTGATATTTTTTCCTTTAATGGCCAAAATGATTAGTATTAAACTTTTTATTATCATGGTAGTCATTTGTTATTGGTCTCTTCATCAATTAAATATTGTTCTATGTGATGTTTTTCATCAATTAGATATTAATTTTTCACTACACAAACTTTTTATTTTTTATTTTTCAAATTTTTTTTCTTTTCCACTTACCCTCCCTTTTTCCTTTCTACCAAACGACAATCGGAAAGTTACAAATTCTAGTCGGTTGGCTTGCAATGCAATTTTCAAGTATATGATATGCTATTATTGGATGAGGTTGTGATTACCCTTTTAATTTTTTAGCAGTATCAAATCAACCATTCGGAATTCTCACTTACAATTATGAAGAATATCCGATACTTTTGACCTTGTATTTCATTTCAGCTAGGTTTTAAACTATACTACTTATTTTCTTCTGCCTAAGGATTTCGAGGCCTCAGTTTATACAATATTATGTAAATAACACTTAGATATTCATTCCTTTGGGAAACTTCTAAAGCAATTTGAAAAAAATATATATATAAGAAGGTTGGGGTATCCATTCAACATTTTTTTACACTGTTAATGTACAATAATATACTTTCATACAGTTAATTCATGTTTGAGTACTGCCACAAGCAATTCTTAATTTTTTAACCAGAGATTCCCGGGGCTGCATTCCAGCTGCCTGCATCTGATACAGAAACTTAACAGCTTCAATGTAGAAACCATTCCTTGTGTAACCCGAAAGCATAGCATTCCAGCAATCAACCTTTTTCTCCTCTCGGATCATCTCAAACACTTGTTTTGCATCTCTTAACAACCCACATCTTCCATACATGGCAATCAAACTACACTGCACATAGTGATCCGAGACCAGCCCAAGTTTGATGGCATCAGCATGGACTTGTTCACCACATCGTTCCTGATTCAACATCTTTCCACACGCCTTGAGAACACTAGAAAACGTGAAGCAGTCCTTCTTCACCCCTCGCATTCCCATCTCCCTGAAGTCGCCAAAAACCTCAGAGAAATGACTTTCCCTGCAACCACTAACGATTTTAGCCGTCCAAGTCAGCGTGTTATGCCGCGACACCCCATTGAAGACCGCACTCGCATCTTTCAGGCTCGTGAATCTCCCGTAAAAGTTTATCAAAGAGCTGCTGAGAAGCACATGATCACAAGTACCCAACTTCAACAACCAGCCATGAACTTGCAATCCCAGAGGGATATTCAAAGTGCATGCACAAGCCCTGAGAAGACAAGCCCATATCCACGGAGGAAACTCCAACGTACCCAATTGGCCTAACATGTTGACAAAAACAGCTGTAGCCTCGTCATAATCAGCATTATCATAGTACGCAACAAACAAGGTCGCCCAAGAGTTGAAGTCCCTAACACGCATTTTGTCAAACATGTGGCGTGCATTTTCCAACAGGCCACAGGACACAAACATAATGAGAATCCGATTGAGGAAAGGCAAGGGGGGTTTCATGCCGCTCTTGGAGATGTGGGTGTACAACTCAATGGCAGTTTCTGGGTCACCGGAAACAGTGCACTCTTTTATCAATGAGGTATAGATGTCAACGGGTATAGGAAAAGGTAGAGCGTCCATCAAGTGCAATATGTCTGAGGTTGTAGCCTCTTTTCTTTTCTTTTTCTTTGGCTCCTTCATGGTGAAAGTAGTTGTTTGAGGAATGAGGAGACGCGGAAAAGTGTGAATGGGGTAGCGCAGCGGTGGTAGAAGCTCGAGTTGATGGCTGGGAGAAGGCAAACTACTTAGGTTGTTCTTCTTCAGATCAAGGTTTTGGTCGAAGAATAGGTGGTGGGTTGCTACTGTTGCTACAGGTGCAGTGATGCGTACCATTCTTCAAGTGATGAATGTTTCTTCTATCAGGTTTCTGTCTCTTCCTTTCCAGAAATTAACAGAGCACTTCAAAATTATTTTTATTTTAAAGTATTTACAGTTTCAAAAACAAACTAATACTTTTTTTTTATTTTAGCTTAGAGTAAAAAAATACTGTAAATTAATATATTTAGAAAATAAAAAATTGCGTACATTTAAACATTTCAAACCACTTAAATATGAGGTTATTTACATAAAATAATTCATCCCAGGTTAACTTTTTTTAATCTCACACTGTTCTTTTCACGTGAAAAAAATCCACACTCCTCGTAGCTACTTAAATTTTTTTTTTTAAATCCTCAATTGTTATGTTGAAAATTTCAAGTTTTTTTGTTAAAAATTATCTCAGATTTTAAATTTTGTAAAATCCTAATGATTACGTTATTTTTAGTTAAAATGTGATAATATGATGCATTATAAATATGCTTACGTGATAATTTTATTATATAGAAATATGATTTAAATTATAATATGAAATTAAAATTTTTTTATTCAAACACTTTTACAAACATAAAGCTCATTTTAGTTCAAAAAAAATTACAGCACCATCACCGTCTTTCTCACCTCTTACTTATCTTTCTTTCCGTGTTGAACTCCTTTTCTCTTTGGGAACACAATAGCCTTTACAACACCATTGTCTTCTTTGTTTACATAAAATTTCCCCCTCATCGTCTTTTTTCTTCCCTCCTAACTCAAATATATCAAGATTAATTTTTTTTTCTCAAAAACATTTCCCTGGATCTCACCCAAGTTTAAATTTTCAAAACCTCAAAATTTACAATTACCCTGAACAAGACATTATTGGAAAGTGTTTAAATGAAAAATGTAGCAGAATCCGACCGGCTCCAACACATCATTGTCTTCTTCGTTCACACAAAACTTCCCCATCATCTTTCTTCGTCCCTCCTAATCGGACCTGCAACAACAAAACCCAAGAACATGAAACTGCAATCTCCATCGTGTCTGAAAACCCTAACTCGCGTAATCTTCCATGGGAACTCAAGTCAATCCAGAGAACGTGAATCGCGAGTCTTCATTCTTGCGCAACCATGGTGAATCCATCAACCTGCAAACAAATCATCAAACCTAATTGCAACCATGGAAAAAAAAACCTCAATTGAAACGCGAAATCGCATCTCCTTTAATCGTCTCATCTTCGAATTCCTTTTGAAATCCTTCCTTCTCTAAACCCTATTTAGTTTACAAATCCTTAATCTGAAGTGCACAAAATCTCATGTCAAAAACTAATATACCATCTTAATTTAAATATTAATTAAACATAATAAAACCATTAACATCAGTATATTTACTACAATAACAAAAAGTTTTAATTATTACGATTTTATAAAATTTAAAACTCAATTGAAATCATTTTAAACAAGAGAATCCAATATTTTTCAATAAATATGACGATGAGGCAAGGTTTAAACTGTTTTTTTTCTTAGCAAATTTGCTTCCAATACTTCGCTAAAAGTATTTATTATTATTATTAAAAATAATGATAATAAATGACTTTGAAACATGATACACAACTACTAGTCATACTTTAATTCATGCGAAACTTAAAGTCAATAGCTTCTTTCATCAGTCTTATATATTGTCTTATATAATGATATTATCTTTGAAGAATTTAATGATAATTATTACTATGACACTAGCCTTATTGGAACAGTTAACATTTTTTTTGACATCACACATGAAATGAATGGGAGTAGTGAAACATGACAACTTCTGCATCTATAAATAGATATAGAAAAAAGATAAACACAAAAAGTAACCCATTCTGAATATGTGGTTATTTGGTAGAAAAAACCATTTAGATACTAGCAAAATTTAAGGGCTAAAACCAAATTCTAAGAATTTTCAACAAATAAAATAAAATATTGAAAAGAAGCATCTTGCACCCACGTGATTGTGACAGATAATTATGCTGTCGCATGGCTATCATCATATAGATTGTCCACGTTGTTAAACATGACAACACTTAATGGATTCCATTCAACAAACCAAAACACATGACGAAAATGAGGGTAATAATCTTCAGAAACCAAAAGCAAAATTCAAGAATTTAATAGATAAAGAAACTGTTAAATATAATTTTGAAAAAATATAATAAAAAACTATATATAGGATTAATCTCATTTGAATATACACATTTGAATTGAATATACACATAGATCCTTTATTTATAATAGAAAAAATATGGATTAATTCTAAAATATAAAATAAAATAATAACAAACCAACTAAAGATAAAAGATAAATATAAAATAAAGATAATATATCTAACATTCCCTCCGAAACTAGTGCATACAAATTGTATATCAAGTACTCGAGTGACACCAAATTGCTAATGATTTGCAAAACGACATAGAAGACGAAATACCAATCCAAAAAACTCCTCCTGAGCAACAAATTTGGGAGGTTACTCCATGTAAATCTCTTCTTGCAAATCGCCGTTGAGGATAACCACATGTGGATAAAGAGGTAATTATTGAAGAGCTATAAATAAACTAACAAAAACTATCTTTTCCATGGAAAAAAAAAAGCATACATGGACGAGTCAAACACAATGGTGAGTGAGGAAAGAGAAGTCAGAAGAGACAAGAAGTCATGGATGAACACGAGAGAAAAACTATAAAAATCAAATATTCTCAAATTCAACCTTATTATTCATAATCATTTTTATCCCACATTTTAGCTTTTTCATATAACACACTTAAAAAAGGGTCGTCTAAAATAAAACAAAAATATAATAATTTCCTCACTTCAGTAATACAGAACATTTTTCCCTAACAGAAACATCCATAATTTATCTTGAGAACAGATGCTAAACAGTTTATGGATATTGCAGAACACAAATGTATAAAACAATGGGTTGTTTGTGGCACTAGACACAGCACAACCTGTCTTGGGACAATTTGCTCAACAAGACAGCAAGCCCAGCAATAAGGGTGAAAAGAACATGGTAATGGGAAAAATGGGCATCATGTGTTAGAAATGAAGGACAAAATTGTGGTGGCACTAGGCAAAGTCATGTCACCGTCGAACAAGTAGCTGCACGTTTTGAGAAACACTGTTTCCTGAAGGAGTTTGATGAAGTACCATTTACTTTTGGTCTTCAGCATTCACTTGAATTCAATTCATTAAATATGGCCGGCTGAGAAATGAGAATTCATCAAGATTCATAATCATCAGGATCTGAATCTATCTCCTCAGCCAATTTATCCTTTAGCAATGGACTTGGAGTAGATCGAAATTGAATAGATTGTAAGAAGTTGAAATAAGCATACTTAATATCGAACTGCATATCGTACCCTGCACAAGACATATGTAGCATCAAAATTCTGATTAAAATTGAACCTGGAACTGAAAAGGGAAGGTTGGGTCCTTACAATAATTAACTGCAATAGTTAATCCTCCATCATCCGCACTCTGTCTAACATGATGGAACCACATGCTAGGCCTGCATTAGTTTGCTCCTTCAGCATATACCTCAGAAAGGATAATCAATAGGCAAACTAAAGTCTAGGTTAATTCCCACTTCCAATATTCTTCTTTCAAGCTAACAATCAGGTACTAATGGTGATTAGTAAGCGTGGCAAAGATCTTTAAGTGAGTTGGATTATTCTAGTAAACTATAAAATGACTCAATCACTGTATCCATTAAGTATACATTATTAGACGAAATGGATTAGTTGAAAGTTATACTGCATGAACTAGGAACATAACGTAGATATGTAACTTCAACTAACATCCTGCCTAGTGACCTAATCATAAGTTCAAACTTACTATCTAAGAGTTCATAACTTTTTTCTCTACTTCAGAATTCGAAATGAAGAGTTTAGAAGCTGTTAGGCTCAGAAGGGGAATAAAAAATCTCCTGCTCCACAAAACAATTTGAGAATGAAATACCCCGTGTTTCATGAGCTTTACATATAGCAAGATCAAGTTGCTTAATCACGAATTGAACATGTTATGGCATCACAAAATGGTTAGACAAGAGAATGGCATCACAAGATTGGCACAAATGATAAAGAACATCCTACGAAAGAGCAAGGGAATCTTACAAATAGAGAACCTCCCCAGCCTTCACAGTACATTCAAAAGGCCGAGGGCCATTGAAGTACAGGGGAAATTTGGCCATCTCATCATCCACGGTCTCCTCAGAAGGATAAGGATCCACACTGCACCAAGGCACATACCTTGTTGGCCTCTCAAGCTCCAAATCGAACTCTCCTGTATACTACAAACAAACTCAACACCCAAACCAAATCAACTCCAAAAACTGACACTTCTTATAGTAAACCCAAGACCCCGTCAACAATAGTAGACAAAGAGCCCAATTCATCCCAAAAACAACATTCTGCTGAAACAGAAATGGGCCACAATGCACATCCTGCTACCTCGTTTTTGCATTTCAGAATATAGTTAGAATTCTTCTAGAATATGATGAGCTGTATTGTGGTTATGCTCTTGTACAATGTTCTGATTTCTTTTATTCCTTCTTATCCACATGTTATAGCAGTATATATGGTGTACCTTTCTTTTATCAATATACAGGGCATATAAAATTTATACGTTGATAGCCTCAGCATAGTTACTTGTCAGAAACTTCAAGTATAAATGATGGTACCAACCTATGAAATGAATAGAAAGAAAAGTACTTATTTTCTTGAATAAAAAACGATGGGATGAAAATACCGAAGAATATGTGTAAGTGGCAGCAGGGTACTGTCGAATGTACAAGCGATGAACATCAGTGGGTGGCAGCAAGATGAAGTGCTTCTCCCCAGTGACAACAGCGTAGAGATTCTCGTAATGATCCTTGTGGAACGAGGTTTGGGAATGTTGGTTACCAATCCAAAGGTTCACAGCTTCGGGCTCAGAGCCAATAGCTTCGGTGGCCCAACCGAGGTCGGGGTCACAGTCAGCGGCGAGAGACGAATACTCAGAGCGAAAGCAATCGTTTTGTTGCTGCGCATAAGCCACAAGCTTGCGGGGTTCGGAATTGGAGATGAGGCTAAGGGCTTCGGGG